TATTGTAAATACAATAGAAGAAAAATTACATATAATATGATGTTACCTATGTGCATTGTATTTAGAAGTTTCATAAGTAGAAATATGTGGTATATCTGTAATGTCAATACCCTTTTTATATGCTTTCCATACATATGATGTAATCCATGTGTAAAAAATATATGAAAATAACCCAGCATTATCTGCTGGCATACTTTCCTTATTTCTGAAAAATATATGAGAAAATATTACATAAAAAATATTTTATTAAAAAAATAAATTTATATTAATACATACTGATTTTTATGACGTATTGGTATAAGATTCCTTAAAGCTGGATTATATCGGTTCATATTGCTTGTTTTGATATATTCTACTGATACTTTTGGTGAGTGTGAATGTGAACTAGGAAGTAAAAAATGTTGTCCTTCACTAACATCATTGTATCTAAAAGAAATATTTAGAAAGTGTTAATCTTTTATCTAAATTCACCAAAAATAGAAAAAACTGTAATTTCATACATTTCACCATTAACGTATTGAGTTTCATTATTTTCGCTCTGGCCACTGGGAGCATCTGTTTTATTTTCCATAACTTTTCCTTAGTATTACAAGTTAACTATATTAAATTTAAATAATATAAACGTTAGAAATAAAATTTTAATAGAAACAAATATAAAGAATATAATAATAATAATAAAACATAGTCTTGTAAATTAGTTAATTGTATTCTAAATTGCTTAACAATTTGTGAAAGTAGAGATATTGGTACAACAGCTTACAAATTATTAGTAAGAAATTATTTTTATCAGTATGTTCTTATCAATGTCATTACCTATCTAGTAATTATGACAATTATGCACAAATGTACAATTATGCTTTCATTTTATAATAAAATTAAAAATTTTATATTTGTTTATATTCAGATAAAAAGAAAAACGAATAACTTTAATCCACTGGAAAGTTGCAGATATATAACATACAATAACAGATCTAATACTGATAATGCATATTAAGTGTTGAAAAGCTGATAAAAAATTTTATCAATTTTAAACAATGACAAGTGGTACGGCTGAAAACAGATTTAATTTAAAATTTGTGCGTGAAATTCTGCCCTCTATGATTTGACGATTTGTAGATACATGTGACATAATTCTTAATTAACCTGGTTTCAAAAGCTTCATTGAATCAACAAAGTAACGGTATTTTTATTTCGGAATTCAAAAGATTAAAAATGCAAAAACATAAAAACTATTTATAGAAATATTAATTAACTTAATAAATACTTATAAATTATTATTATTAATAATATATCAATATCAATGTAACAATAATGATGAAATACGTCCGTTATTTTTCTTTGTATTGTAATATACATTTGATTAAGTACCATTAAAAAACACAAAATAAATTTAAATAAATAAATTAAATATAGTATTTTGTATCAAGATACGTGAATATATAACTGAATATATAACTTTTCTACTTGCATTATTTGAAAGAAGATACTAAATTTTCTGAAATATACATGCTTTATCGTACAAAATCTGTCACAATCAAACTACAGTACTTAAGATAACATTAATTACCTTTGCACATAGATAAATTTTTGTATACACTTAGACAAATTGTACATTGCTTTTATGTTTCTCATTCCAATATTTCCACGTATTAATAGATTGCAATTGCTTGATGTGACGCTGCATGTTACATACATACAATGTATTCCTTTGTCCCACCCTCATTTATATTCATTATCTCAATTGTAAACACTTGAAATGATTTATTCATCACTTAGTCATAATCAAATAATATTATACTTTGTCTATAAAACCACAAAAATCTAAAAAATAAATAAGAATTTTATACTAAAATATAAAAGGCAAATTATTCTTTAATATAAAAATAATTGGATAAAATATTTAAATTTTAGCACTGAAAATTAAATAGTTCTGAGATACTAATAAAAAATTTTGGGTACATATGTACATTGAATTTTACTTCTATGTGCAAGGCTGCGATAATATGTGCGTCAATCTCTTTCAAATCTTATCTAGATCGGCCACCGAGGCCTATTGGAACTACATCCAAATGATTTATAACAATGCTTTATAGTAAACAAATTTTCATAAATTCAATACAAAAATTAATTAGCTATTTAATAAAAAAAAAATATAGTATGAATGAGGAGCCTTCTTTTATGAAGTTAGCATTTATTGTTACACTTTATAAAACACAGGTCACATCAAACATACGTCGTTGCTATTAATTTCATGCACAATATAAATTTATAAGGATACATTTTATTTTTTTTTTATTCTTTTTTCTCTTTTTTTTTTGGATATAGACTTTTTCACGTACAAAATATAAGGTCCTAAAGAAATACAAGCATTCCCGTTTTGTTTACAACATTCATTTTCGCAATGAAAGATAAGGAGTATTTTATCTCTTTTTTCTTATATATAGTGAAATGTTACATTTATTTTTTCCCTCTTCTTTAAATTAATGTTTTTCACAAAAACTTGTAGAGCTAAAAACGCTACAAGTAAAATTGACTCGAATGCAGATATATCTTTTATAAATGCCAAAAGTGGAATAGAGCCCGATAAGATTTAATATGCGCTTAACATATGCGCTTAAATCACTTAACATACTCTCTTCTTTTTTTTACACTATGAAGTATATATCATTAAACAAGACTTCATGGTCAAAATATTTTGCATATCATTTAGAATAATATTCGATAGAGTTAACATAAACTATGTAAATATAACTGTGTTATTATTTAGATAAATATATTACAATATGGATCATAATCGTTGAACTGTTTGCGTTTCAATATAAACTAACTATCCTTGTACGATTGCAAACGTTATTTCTAACTCTGACGATAACCTGGTGTCGAAGCTGTTACATAATTTATAAATATGCTTATTCTCTAATATTAGAATTTGGAACACTTTTGTGAGGTCTTAATGAAATAACAGATATATAATACATTAAAATATTATTATAATAAAAAAGGTATTGAGTAGTTTCTGTGACTTAGATTTTTATGATTCAAGGAAATTAAACTAATTATTTTTTAAAAACAAGATGTCTTTTATAATTATTTAAATTTAAAACTGAAATACACCCAATGGTTTGAAAAAGTGGTTCTTAGTGTAATGTTCAATATTTTCACTGAACATAAATGAACGCCAAAAAGAAACTGAAATATAGTTATAACAAATTGTGATTAACTAAATTCGTCCCTTAAAAAAACTAATTAATGATCACCGATGGTACATCATAAAAACTAAAACATAAGCTTTGAGTTCTGTTTAATAGTTGCGTATGTAAATCATAAAACATAATGTAATGGCTATAATCAATTTTCAACTGAACGCAATATGGAAACGAAATTTCACTGTTCACAAAATTCAGTATGTTAAAACTTTGATTTATGAAACGTTTTATCGTCGGTAGCGTAAGAAACGCGACATCCAGCCTCAAAAACTATTATAATTACTTCCTCCTAGTTGAGAGCTGAAACCTCTGTTTGGAGAATATCCCGGCCTGAAGTTATTACCCAAACCTAGTAATATAAAAATACAAAATTAGTATTTTTTCACTACCTATAACTTCTGAAAATAAACTAAAAACATAAAAGTAAAAAGGTTAAAAAAAAATTAAATAAAAAAGAAAGGAGGAAAGGTACAAATTATACCTCCACAGAAATTTCCAATGCCACCTAGCGACATTCCACTTGAACCACCAGTTGAATTTAAGAATAATTCAATGTACCTATGAGACATATGGCTTTTATCCTGTAATAAAATTATAATAGAAAAAAATTAATATAGTAATTGGAAGTTATAATTTGGATTACAATTATCTAACGAACCTTGGACATAGCTTTAACAGCCTCCTCATGAGTTGCAAACTCTACATCTGCTTCTCCAGAAGGACGTCCGCCGTTTTCAAGAATAATTCGGACATTTACTGGTTCAATAGGTCTAAAGAACTACAATCATAGAATAATATTTCATTGCAGAAATAATAATTTAATGAAATTTAATATACCTACTGTATTCAATTTGAAAACCTACATCAGCTATGTCTTGTTCAGTAGCTTTAAATGGTAATCCACGCATATGTATACTGTGGATACCGGAATTACCACCCCATGTATCACCGCTGCCTCTGAAATTTCCGCCTTTCATATCCAAACCACCTCTCATTCCCATATTTCCTCCCCGTGAATCGAAATTACTACCACTTCCCCATGGACCACCATCAAAATCTGAAAAATATTAAACGATAAAGAAAAAAGTTTTATATAAGCCTTACTTTATATTTTAAATAAGTAACAAATTCGTAGTACCTCTATTTCTTGAACCTCTGCTATTATTACTAAAACGGTTCATCCCACCGAAACGTGCACCTCGATCATATGGAGCAGGTCTTTGATTGAAACCACCCATTGGTCCACCTCGCATTTTCGGTCCAATACTAGCGCGCACTTCGGACAAAGTGCTTCGGAAGATTTCGATGTATCTGTTAAGATTGACATTAATTGTTATTATTTTCGTGTGAATATTATTGCCGCTCATATAGTCGGCTGCCTTCTCAAAGAAGAGAAAATTCGATGCAAAAATATCAATGAGTATAAAATTTCTGACTTTAAAACGAAGACAGATATAAATAGGAAATACAAATGTTAAAAAAAAAAAAAAAACATTGTCTAAATAAATTAACCGATTATTGTTCTGATACAAAAAAAGAAAAAAAAGAAAAAATTAAAAACTAAAAAGAAAAGAAGGAAAAGATAAATGGTTCGAAGAAAAAATCCATACGAAGAATTTTGTAATGGATTAACTGTTCATACTACACCTCCACATATTTATTAAACCTGTGTGTAGATACCCTCCCTCGGTGACATTGCATTCTGATGTATCTTATGTCACCCTAGCCATTGAGATGCTGATGATCCTCAGGTATATGACAATTACAATTGCACTTTATGCAATTTGAGAGAGAGAGAGAGAGAGGAGAGAGAGAGAGAGAGAGAGAGAGAGAGAGAGAGAGAGAGAAAGGGTAAACAATACACAAGTATCGAGAAGCGATACAACTAAAAGAAAGTATGTTAGATTTAAATATTTAATTTTTGGAAAAAAAGCTAAAATGATCAAAGATAGCGTATCTTGTCGTACGATCATGATAATAAAGTATTTCCGTGCAATTAATGAGCTGTATGTATTAACTATATATAGTGACCTTACAAAAGAAAAATTGTGCAAAGCCTTTGAGCTCAAATTATTACATAGTTTTGCATAAAACGTACAATTGTGCAATTGTCAAACAGATGTGCCAAATTAGATCGATGATTACTACCTCCGTAGTGCCCACCCATCCTGGGTTAGCCCTACCCACCTCCCATGGGATTTGGTGACGATGTAAGGGGGTACCTCCCGCCCGGCACCCACCCATAGGTTTCAGTTGGGCCAACAGTACTTTCGCTTACGTACGACTAACTTTCTTTTATTTGTGTTCAAAGAGAAGCAGTTTCTTTATATGATTAATTTCTATAGTAATATACAAATAGAATAACAGGTATAATTAATAAATAAATATTTTATTTTGTAAAGTATTTTCTTATTAACTAAAGTAATAAAGAAACTGCATCTATATAAAAACTCGCTCCCGCTATTTACTAACAAAATTTATATACCTACATGTACTACGATCATAAAATGATATTGAAAAGTTATAAGTATACCCAAACCCAGCTAGCGTCAGTGCCCCACCTGTGTCCTATCTTTTCCTTGTGTTTCTGCAGAGCGCGCTCCGCAACATCTTTGTTAACAAACTGAACGTAAGCCTCCCCAGTACTGCGGCCCGTGTAGTCTGTCGGTAGTGAAATCCCGTTCGGCAATATCTCCAACCCTGACCCACACATAATCAAACATCGACATTGTAGCGTAACACCCATTATTGATTATAGTATCGTCAGTTTATTTAAAGCCCTCATAAAGAAGCAAGATTTAAAATATCCTTTGCACATTATGTGCAAAACGTCTCGCTCCAAAATTATACTTTTTTCTCAATTAAGTCAAAATAAAAAAATGTTAACTACGCCGAAGTTAAGAATTAAGTTCTATACAGAAAACATAAAGATATAAATAAAATATAAGAATATATTTACATATTATATAAATCACATGAAAATTATAATAAATGTTTCTTTTGAGTCTATAAAGGATCATAGAATATAGGAATTTTACTTTTTTCAATCTTAAATCTTAACTAAGGCCATCTAATGATTACAGAAACACAGAGACACTGCTTGGGATGGGTATAAAATCACTTTCAAAGTTTATATATGTTTAGTAAAACGTTGCAAGCTTTTATTTCTATATGCATCTTGTTCTGACAGATACTTTTACTTTCATATTTATTCTCTAGGAAATATATATATATTATTTATTTGTAATCGTAAATTTCCTTTACCTTAATTTGAAGCACGTATGCTCATTTTTTAAGTTAAAATGGAATAGAAAATTATACTTTTACCTTATTTTTTTTTCTTTCATAATACTATAATGAATACGTACTATAACCATCAAAAGCATTTAGTCCCTGTGATTCAAGTTTTTTTATTTGATCAACAAAAATCAAACAATAAAATTAAAAAAAAAAAAAAAAAAAGAAAGAAAGAGAAAAGCAAGACACATTGATCATCAACAAGATGTAAGTGAACTTCTAGCAATATCTAATATTAAAAAATTAATAAAGATACAAGTTTGTATATACAGTATAAAATACCTGAGAAGAACTGTGCTATTTCTTCTTTGGAACAGCCAAATGGTAGACCACGTAGTCTCACACAACCATCATCCATAGCATTTTCTAGGTTCATACCACTTCTCTTCACAACCCATTCCATTTCACCTCTTTTTGCTTTAAAAACTATGGTGAAAAAAACAGTTACTTGTATCTGTTTTAAATATTTTTGACTTTATAAAATTTTTAACAAACCTTCAATATAACGATGACCCATATGATCCCTATCCCTTTTGCAAGCTTTCTGAATATCTTCCAATGTGTCCATTTCTACATATGCCTCTCCACTTGGACGGCCTTCTCGTGACATTGTCATATGAACACCATTTTTACCATTTGTAATAGAACAATCGCTAAAGAATTTCATGATTTCATCAACAGTAGTTGACCATGGTAATCCACGTAATTTAACAACAAAGCCTTCATCATCATGGTCTCCACTTCCATTCGACATGATTTCAGTCTAAAATAAACTATGTCATGATTTGTACAAATATATTCTGACATTTCCTTCATATTGTATATTATTAAATTAATAGTAATTAATATTATTTCATAATTCTTATTTAATTTTGAAATATTATAAATATGTGATTATTTATATATGATTATTGGTAATAACTATTCAGAATACAGAAACCAGTAATATTTAACACTATTATGTTATTTAACAAATAATTGATATAAAAATTAAAATAAATACAAATATGATATTTCATAACTTGTTACTGAAATTTAATTGTGATGGAAAATACTTTTCTTACATAATAAAATTTAGCAATAATAATGATGATACAAAAACAACAATAACAATAACAACAACGATAACAACAATAATAATAACAATAAAAAATAAGAAGAAGAAGAAGAATATCGAGATTTAAAGAAATACGTATACAAAAAAAATACGTTTACAACACAACCGTAAAAAATGTTTGGGAAAAAAAATACCTCATTATCAAGGAATTTTTAGTATCCAAGTATCCTAATTTTTAATTTTATAGAAACAAAATTGATTTGTTTTATAAATTATAAATACAATACTAATACTTACGACTTTGTGGTGCTGATTTATAAATAAGAAAGAATGACAAATTAAGTTTAATTGACAGCAAACGCTTAGCTCTACCACGCTCTACAAAGATATCAAGAAAATGGCGTATATCTTTACGAAACTTAAGGCTGGTTTAAAAATCTAATATAATAATATTGCGGTATTCAAAATTTTTGGCTCTTTTCCAATTTATTTACATTTTGCATGTTACAGTAATATATATTCTACTAAAAAATGTTTGATATATTTTAAAGTACAGGAATAGAAATCATGAATGGTTAATAGCTATTAATTTACGAACACACATAATATTGTATAAAGCGAATATATTTTACTCACTTAAATAAGAAATTATATATGCGTTAAAATTGGAGTGTGATATATCATTTAATAATATGAAGAAATATATTAATAGTACAAATTTAAATATAATTGTTACTAGCATGATATTATTTAGGGTTCATAAATTTATCCAAATTTTAGCATGTAACAATGTTTTTTACCTGGTATATCGATCGTGTTACACATAGTAAAACATTTAGTCTATAGATACTTAAATAGCATATTGATACGATTTACCATCTATTTCACAAAATATATCGTAGATGGCGAAACATCATAAATTATAAAATTACAAAAAAATTAGAAACTACGTGTCTGCAGTCACGTCTGAATAGAGGTCGTGACCGAATCTAAAGAAGTAGAATCCCGTTCTGCAGTGGAAGGATTGAAGTCGAGTTGATCGGGGAAAAGGTAGTTGACAAAACGTCTATTGTGCTGTCGCGGGAAAGAGGGTATGGTGGATTTTGAGAAATATCATTTGCAGCTAAATCCTGAAGTGTTATTTACTGTGAAGAAAATCGACGACACGTGCAGCCGTGTAGCCGTGAATTGAATTTCACTGATAGGTCATCCAGAAGTGCACAATGAGCTTCCTATTGTAAGTTTTTTTTCCGTTTATAGTGTAAATCGACTTCCCGCGGTACCCTTTTACCTTGTTGAAATTCCGCATTGAATTCATTGCTCCACGAAAATAGATATATTGAGTATTCACTGTTTCCCCGTTAATTAATTGTTTTATATCACGCCAATCTCATTCACAAATGACAAATAACAGCAAATGTGGAATTAGTAATTTGTTACCATGGATCGATTACAATGAGAAGAGATATTGACAGAAATCGCTTGACCTGTTCCATGGATGTTATCTTCTCAGCTAATTTAGGTTTCCGACTCGATGTACTCTTGAATTCGTGTACATCGCAATCGACCAATCGGTGGATATCTAAAAATAGCACGATGCCATAATTTCTTTTAAAAATTCTCCGTTTTCTACGATCTTCAACCCTCTCTTTCTTTACTGCTTTCACTCATGTCCTGTTGCACGCGCGTATATTCATCACACGTCAAATTTATCGCCACGAGACATTTCTTATCGTGACGGATACACTGCGGAAGTAGAATTTCTTTTTACAACGCTCCGATATTACTATATCAGAGAAGTCTTTAGCTGTAATCGAGATCGATCGATTTGTCACATCCGCCCTAATCATATTTTCGGTTTCTCGTGAACTTTATTCTATTTTTGCATTTTAGTTCATTTAATACCTATAATAAATCGATTTTTGTTTGGCTGTAATATGATCACTAATATGATTTATGATAAAATATTTCAATTTAAAATATATAAACAATATGCCAAAAATATCAGTACAGATAGAAATTCTACAATTTTGATTGTATTTTTAAAAATGATTAAGAATTAACCTAACCATTATTAAAATGTATTTTTATGAATTTCTTAAGTGGAAGCAGATCTTCAAAAACCTTCAAGCCAAAGAAGAATATCCCAGAGGGAACTCATCAATATGACTTGATGAAGCATGCAGCAGCTACTCTGGGCTCTGGGAATTTGAGACTTGCAGTTATGCTTCCAGAGGGTGAAGATTTAAATGAATGGGTTGCAGTAAATAGTATGTATTATAAGTATATTAGTTTATATCTATATTTTTAATAACTAAAAAATTATAATTAGCTTTTATATTGTTTCAGCTGTTGATTTTTTTAACCAAATCAACATGTTATATGGCACTATCACAGAATTTTGTACAGAAGAAAGTTGTCCCATCATGTCTGCAGGACCAAAATATGAATATCATTGGGCCGATGGACATACTGTTAAAAAACCAATTAAATGTTCTGCACCAAAGTATATTGATTACTTGATGACTTGGGTGCAAGATCAATTAGATGATGAAACTTTATTCCCTTCAAAAATCGGTCAGTTAGATTATTTTATTAAATAAGATATTCTTTTACCAATAAAATTTCGTATTTTTTAGGAGTCCCTTTCCCAAAAAATTTCTTATCCATTGCCAAGACAATATTGAAAAGACTATTCAGAGTATATGCACACATCTATCACCAACATTTTAGTGAAGTGGTTCAACTTGGTGAAGAGGCACATTTAAATACATCATTCAAACACTTTATATTTTTTGTTCAGGTAAAGAATTTAAAACTAAACAAACATTTAATAAATTAAAACTATAATTTCTCAATATTTATGCACAATTTTTGTTTGCTGTAGGAATTTAACTTGATAGAAAGAAGGGAATTGGCACCATTGCAAGAATTAATAGAAAAGTTAACGGCGAAGGACGCCCGATGAGCGATTTTGATCGTCAATCGAAAACTCCTCCAAAGAATTTCACCCATGCTATTTCTTTTAACAAAACGTGTAACTGTGCATGTTATTTAACTAATCTAATTCATTGCTAACGTGATCATTGCCTCATGCCAGGAGTTACTGGTATTATACTATGTGACATTCTGTTCATTTATAAAAACAAGTGACTGATTCACGCATTTTATACCGAAGATGATTCTCAACAAAGAAAAAGAAATTTTGACTATTTGGGAAAGTGATGAAATTACGTTAAAAATCAAGAGGGTGAGGATTATTAATGAGACTTTTGTGAAATAGTTATACATTCGATACAAATCATAGTGATCATTTTGTCTTACATTTTAAAAGAAGAAAAAAGATGTTATTTTATAAGTAGTGGAGAAACTACGTCGTAAACTGTAATTTATTACGTCTATGGAATTTTTATACTTGAAACTTCGAGAACAAAATTAGCGTGAGTCATACGCACGAAAAAATTAATTCATATCGACTATGTAGGACGAATAATTTTACAAAAAGTTCGGAACAACGATGATATTCAGTTTTACGTTTCTATTTTTATCGTTTGTAATTACCTCTCGATATTATGCAGTTTCATTTTAAAGGTTCAAGAAATATCGCCATTTTTATAAATAGAAATGACACTATGTATAAAATAAGAATGCGTCCGATAGCATTTCTTTCTTCTTTTTTTTTAATTTGTGACAATTTCGTAAGACATTGACGTCTTTGATATCAGCATGAATTGGAACAGCTTTAAATTTAACATTTTATATGATTGCTAAACTATGCATTGTTGGTACGTAACGTTATTAAGTTAATATTAACGCTATTTACATTTAACTCATACTATGTAATTAGTTTAGACGATTATTATCATCGTGTTAAGCTCTTGCAATACAAATTATTTATAGCGTTAGGAATTTTATACGCACCATATCTTTTATCCTTTATATGAGTGAATTTTTGAGTCTGTTCTATTCTAGGAAGCATGTTATATTATATTTAAGCCGTTTGCGTTGTGTTACTGGGGAAATTTTTTATATATTTCATATTTTTTTTATTGTATTTCAAAATTATTTCATTTTTAATGTTTTCAAAAATATGTGCACATGCTTACATCTAAAATTTGTAAATGTTTTCGGTTTTAAGAAGAATAGAATTAATTCGATGGATACAGGGTATCCCAGGAAAGACGCAAAGGGCAAACATTTTCGTATAAATAATGATAAATATGTGATGTGTATAGTTACAGTGTACACATTTACAATGATTTATTTCGCTCTTAAGAAATTGATTTTGATATATATAAATATCAAATAGGACATATAGTCGTTTATAGCGCGTTCAGCTACGTATAATAGTTTTCTCGCTTGTAGGAGAGATATCATAGGAGATATATATATATATATATTTTGTGTGTAGCGTGTCCGCGTGTGTGTATGTGGGCGCATAGTGTGCGTGCGTGCGTGTGTATTGATATAAATGCTTACTGTTTTCACGCGTGGCGAACTGCTCCCGTTGCATTCGAATATTTAAATGAATGCATTGTATTTGCTTGTAACTAGAAAATACTCCTCAGATGGTTTTTTTCTCACACTCTGTGCCCTTTGCTGTGATGATCGGACTTTGCATTTCTGCGTAATGAACTATATCTACGTATGAAAGGGTGAATTTTTAACTAAGTTTTTTTGCTGCTATTCATGTAAATGGTGATCGTTTGAATGAAGTAAGCTAGGAGAATAAGAAATTATGGCGTACGATCATGAGACGTATATTTGCTTTTAATGGACCAGGCTATTTTGCGATAAGTATCGCATGAAGTGATTCTTGAATCATGAGAGATACAAGGAGATGTAAAGATTGCGCCATTTTTTTACTGTATTTCATTTAAGATTTGATATGAATCTATGAAAGAAGATCTGTAGGAAATTTCTTTAGGTACTATATTAAGTATAAAGATATCAACATAATGTGATAATTATAAAATATGTAAATTGTGGGTTAAGTGATATTATCATGAGTTTAAAGGTTCCAATACTGTTTACAATCTGTTTTCAACTTTTTACTATTGCTCAGTTTGTTCTCAAACCTGAAGTAATTCTCAGCATTATCTAGAACTTCTTGTAAAAGTCCAATATTCTCAAAATTACAGATAAGAAAGAAGAAAAAACATTTACAGTTACAATTCCTTGTATGTCTTGGCAGTTTAGCGATTATATATGAAAAACTTATCTCAGAACAGTCTAACTTCATGATTCACTAGGCGGAAAGTTAGGAATTAATGGAATTCGAATCATGACAGCGATATAATTTGTTCGTGTTTAAAATGAATGAAAGGGACAAAGTGTTATTTTTTATAAAAGGTGTTTGCTAATATTTAACGCATCGATTAGATTTTTTTGCTTATCTTTCTCGCGTTAATACATAACGATTAAAAGATTGTATAAGGTTGCTCGATGTGATACCATTTTTCATGTAACTCATGAGGATCAATGAGAAATTTCACGAGGTCCAGGACTAATATAAATGTATTTTATTATAAATGACATAAACGAATTAGCTTTCGTAATAACGTAAATATTTATCGATGACAAGAAGGAATAAACGAATAATTATAGAAATTGAATGGAACGAAGAATTTTGAGGATAAAGGTGGACAATTCGAAGTAGACTACTGTGTGATGATCTACAGACCATGGTTGTTGAATGTAAAACGAATATAAGTGACAGTAAAAGTAACAATAATAATGGCTCGTATCGACGGTAATATTGTATTCAGTACTTAAGAAGATCGGGAGAGTTGTACCTTATAGAAGAAAACTTTTCTCGCAGCAGTACGCGATTTCGTCTCTCTTTTGCCCCTAATCTCTCACTTTTAGATTAGAGGGGCGAAATAGTTTGACTGTAGTAGTGTTGCCAGCTAGAAATTAATTTACACACAAGTAATACTGTTATCAATTACAATTACTCTTATTATTTTTACTATTAATAGTATTATTGATACGATTATCGCTAACGCCTTTAATGCTATTTATATAATTTACACGATTTATGTTATCGCATTGGCGGTAGACGATCATTTCTTACAAAATATACTTGGATTATTTTTTTATATTATAAATGTATATATATTATACTATATATATGAATATGTAAAATTTTATGATCATTTGTATAACTTCATTTTTCTTTGTTTGTGCTGTCTTTCTGTTGAATTCTATTTTCTTGATTTTTTGAAAGACCATTTTTTTTATGTCACTGAAGGCTCTTTCACATGATTACTAGTTAGTAGTATACAATTTTTTCACGATTTAGCAATTAAATAATTATGGAGTTATGTGAGTGTTTTCTTTTATTTAAGTGTAAGCAAATATAAGAAGATAGAAAAGAGTGGAAAGTAAGAAATTGGATAAGATACACGTTTTAAGTATTATAATAAATTCTTAAATTTAGAAATTTCTATTTCAAGAGAATTTGTATCGCCTTTTAGGATGAACAGAAAATACTCGTGTAACTTAACAATTTACTCAATTGTTATTCGTGTTTTGTTTTTGCATATTCTAAAGGAACGAAATTTATAACAATGATTGATTTTTTATTAAATTTATTAGAAAGTTGATTCGCGAGATAAATGTTAGACTAAGTTGGCATTATGGTTTATGGTTGAACAATAGTTCGATTTTTCGAAAGGGCTTCATGCGAAGAGCTTTCAGAAATACGATTGTCCATTCGTTTTTTAACGACGCTAGTGATATATCTGTGCAATGTAAATAATATTTTTTTCAAATAAATGAGAACTCACGCGTAACCATAAACACGATACTGTCTCCTCGTATAAATCCAAATCTTCTTTTTCTTTTTCTTGGAAATTAAAAATGGAAATATATTTTCAAACAAAAAGAAAGAAAAAAAATGCTAACTGGAATGAAGCATAATAATTGAAATTTCATTCAGTTATATTTAACATTCATAATTGTATTTGCATATCCTGGATATCAAATATTTTTTAAACTATATTCTTTAAGAAAAATTCGTTAACTTAATTTGTAATTTCAGTACAGTTTCATATCAGGATAAAATTTTTCAAATATTTTTAGATTATTTTCTGTAATATACTATTGAAAAAGATACTTGAACATCTCCTTAATCTAGCCTTTCTTTTTACCTCTCTTTAACAGGTACCTGGATTTGCGAAACGTTATGCAATTTTTATGCTCAAGTACCGTGTAAAACAGAAACTTTTCCTTTGGAATCTGCAGAATGCTTCCCAAGCGTAAATTTCAAAGGGTGAAAACGAAAGAATGACGTGTAGAGCGTTAATTACTTGAACAACTCGAGGAACACAAGTAATTAGAAGATGACCGCTAATACACGATAATTCGCTCTTGAAGCTATTGCTCAAGGTTATTCAATTAATATCTGTTGCTAAAGATTTGTTTGATTATTGTGAATTCAGTGTTTCAATTGAAATATTCGATCTGTGTTCAACTCATTTTTAACCATAAGATTTGCCAGTTAAAAATTTGAATATTTCAATAATCTCAGCGTAAAGTAAATGTTTCATTGTTCAAATATAAGTACAGATGCATTGGAAATTCTAATCGGATGTCTGATAAATTAGTTTAAACAGTAATATTTTTTGAATCCCTTATATAAACTTTTATTACAGTTCTATGAATCAATTGTAGATAAATTATTGACTCGTTTTCAAAAGGTCATTAAACCATAATTCAATCAACAGAAGATGGCAATTATTAAGGAATTTCACTTTAAAAATGCTGCATAATTTTAAAAGAACAGTTTGCAACAAAATATTGGAAATATTGATATGTTATATGATATTGAGATGTTGGTGAAATAAATATGCTTCTGTCTTTAATACAAAGCCAGTTAACTATTATTATGAAAAATCAACATATAAACCATAAAATAGGTAAATTATACATTTTCAAAGTTCGATCAATGTCGTAAATTTTGCAAAAATTGAGAAATAGGAGGAATACATAATTTAACAAACCGAATATAATAATCTGACAATTTTCTATTTCAGATAGCCAAGAAAATTATAGACTAAAGAAAGTAAAAGTTGAAAAAAGATAAAGAGAAGAAAATGAGGAATTTCACGGTATGATTATAGTTCTCGTTTGTCAGTCAACTTCACCGACTTAATTATTACTCTGATCTCTCATTAATGCTGCTTGCAAAATTCAATTCAATTCGCAAATAAGTACAGTGTTTAGTGTTTCTTTTATTTCTTGTTAAGTTTT